TAAACTAAACAACATTTGTCTTAGGGGCATATCGAAATTCTTTACCAAATTTAAAATAAACAATTTTAAAAAATACTTTTTATTTTTTATTTTATTTTTATTTTTGGCCCGGGCGGGCAAGTGGACCCGGCCCACTCTGGTAGCCTAGGATCTCGTAGATTATATCGTGATATTTTTAGGAAAAATATCCAAAAAATAAAAATAAAATAGACCGTAAAATAAATGCAGCACCATTTCGTCGCATTTTTCATTTTTGTCACTCTAGCACATGTGGGCCAACGGAAAAAATACCCCAACTCCCGTGATTTTTTGCGCTCAAAAGGATGACTCGACAACTCTGCAAATTCACAGACCTGTAGATTATTTTGTTACAATAGTTATATGTTTCATTTTGTATGGTTATATCACTTATATTTATGTTAAGAAAAATGATGATTTTTACTATGTTGGACCATCACCTCGCCAGCCCAGGAACGCTTGGGCAGGCATGCCCAAGCCAATTTGACAGAGTGGCGCACGCCTGATAAAACCAGACGGATCGAAAAAAGGGCAAGGATACCCCCCAAAAAAAAAATTGACTTAAGGCTAGGACCGACCTAACATGAGTAGTCGGAATCCGACACTATCTTCCAAGAGCGAGGTGAAGGGTATAAATTGTAACTAGAGAGGTTTAAAATGGTGTATTTAAACTTATGTTTCCTCATAAAATTTAACTCAAAATTAACAAGGGATTCTCATAGAGTAACACATGAATTTTACTTATAAAACTTTTATTTCTTATCGATTGTCAGTGGTTAAACTTACATGCACATTTCATTACTCTATCATTTTGTTCATATTCCTTAATTAAGATTTGAATATGTAGGTATATCATACTTAATTAAATTCACTCGATTTTTGCACAAGCTTATTGTGTAATGTATTTTAAAATCGATAATCAGTGTGAACAATATTTATCCATACATGGTTACTAGGCTGAACGTTCGGAGGCCCCCTGGCTACCCCCGAATATTAGGGCGTTCTGTCAAAAATTATTTTAGGGCTTAATTTTTATTTGTATTTTTAGTTCTGTATGATATGCGCTACATGCATATAAATTTTCACAGCACTTTGCCAATCCAACAAAAAATGGAAAAAAAATTTGTATTTTTAGTTCTGTATGATATGCGCTACATGCATATAAATTTTCACAGCACTTTGCCAATCCAACAAAAAATGAAAAATCGCCTAAGATGGCGGTGTCAAAACGTGGTCGGCCATTTGTTTTTTTCACTTTTTACCTAGGCTACCAGCCGGGCCGTCCGGGTCCCGGGTGGCCAGCCTGTGCAAGGACGTCCTAGCAAAAAAAAAAAAAAAAAAAATCCAAAAAATCCAAAAACAAACTGCGTTATGTAGAAAACTAAACTGAACAACTTTTGCCTCAGGGTCACATCGAAATTCTTCACCAAAATTAAAATAAAAATTAAAATATAATTTTTTTTTTATTATTATTTTTTTTTTTGCTCAGCCGGGCAAGTGACCCCGGGCCACTCTGATAGCCTAGCTTTTTACTTTTTGTTTTGATTTTATTTTGTTGCCTTATATTTTTTATTATTAAAAAAAAAAATTATGAGCTTTATATTATGTGAAACAAACATCTATAAATTTAAAAGATGTGACTATATCGAGAAAAAATAAAAAATTGTCAAAGATGGCGGTGTCGAAAACATGCTCGCCCACTCACTAATTTTAATTATTTTTTTATTTTTATTTTTATTTTTATTATTATTTTTTTTAGTATTTTATTTATATTTCACATTTGGTAAGGAATTCGGATGTAACGCTGAGGCAATTGTTGCTTGTTTTATCTTTCTCCATCACATTTTTTTTCTCCATATATTTTAAAAATTTTGGATTTTTTTTTTTTTTTTTTTTGTGAACGGCCGAATAAATCCTCAAGGGGGGCCGAATGTCCGACAGGTTTGGGTTCGGGAGTTCGACTGAACCCGAACGTCGAAAACCCTATATCCATATATAATTTTTCATATAATTTCCTCTTAGCCAATAACTGCTAAATATTATATAATCATGACATTTATCTTTGTTATGAGAATGAGAAAGATAACTTATGTGAAGGTTTTATTATGCAATAATTCAAACAAGGTGTAAGTGGAAAACAATAACATGTTTATTTTTTGCTTTTCAACATTTACCATTTGTCGGTTCGAACATGATGACGATTATGCCATGATGGTTGCCTTCTTTTGAATTATGGTTATTGTTGACGCTCACTCTCTTATTTTTGTTATTGTGATATGACATTTTATCCATGCCCTCTATATTTGTGATAATATTGTATTGTTAAAACTATTGTTACTTCGGTGTCGTTCTTCTTT